CTAGCTTGACCGCCAATCACACCCCGCCGCGCCCGACAGCTCCCCATCCACGACTAGGCATGCCATTGACTCTCTCGCGATTCTCCAGAGCACTGTTGAAAGAGTCACAAAGCGGCAGCCTAAAGCTACCCTCCCATCTACGCCTGACTCACCCTCCGTTGCCATTCCTTCACACGAAACCCACGTTCACAACACTCCCCCCCCGCACCTTCACCACCCACCCCTCCAACATGGCGCCCACCGATCCCGTCCCCGCCTCCAAAGACGCCCTGTCCGCCAACCAACCCATCGTCATCTCCGGGCCCTCTGGCGCAGGCAAATCCACCATCCTAAAGCGCCTCTTCGACGAGTTCCCCGGCAAATTCGGCTTCAGCATATCGCACACTACGCGCGGGCCCCGGGGAGAGGAGCAAGATGGCAAGGAATACTACTTCGTAACCAAAGAAGAGTTTTTGGATTTGGTAGAGAAGAAGGGGTTCGTGGAGCATGCGCAGTTTGGTGGAAATCACTATGGTACGAGTGTCAAGGCTGTGAACGACATTGCCGAGAAGGGACAGATTTGTATTTTGGATATTGAGATGGAGGTAAGTCTTTGCCCACTGTTTAGTACAAAGCGCATCTTTGCTGACAGTGTTGATTGCAGGGCGTTAAGCAAGTCGCGAATCACCCTACGTTCCCTCGCCCGAGGTTCTTGTTCTTGCAGCCGCCGTCTATGGAGATTCTGGAGAAGCGGTTGAGGAGTCGCGCGACAGATAAAGAGGAGGCTATCTTGAAGAGACTCAATCAGGCGAAGGTCGAGATGGAGTTTGCGCATAGTGGACAGGCGCCGCATGACAAGATTGTGATTAACGACGATCTGGACAAGGCGTACAAGGAGGTCAAGGAGTTTGTTGTTGGTAGCGAGGCATGAAGACCAGCGAGAGAATGAGAATTTCAGATGATACCACAGGAACGAGTCAAGAATGCGAAGAGATGCAAAAGGTGTTATGATACGATTCTTTTTTTCAAATTATGACTATCTAAGCCATAAGGTTCATCAGATACCGTCGTAGAAAATTCAGCAAAGGCCGTGATACCACTTTGGGATTACACAGCCTCAGAGCTTGACTCTATTTCCATTTGTCTCATCATATGAACCGTGTATGGCTGGATGAATCTGGCTTGTTCGACCAAGCGCGTAGTAGCCCATCAACTCCAACCGTTGTCAGAGAGTGTCTACCCTCAGATCCGAAAAGTGTGTGGGTGAATGAACGTTCCTCGCCTCAAGAATAAGCCCCATTGAGTTACCATCCGTGACACCTTGTTTGACCAAAGCGCAGGAAGGCAATCGCATAACCATAAACTGGACGAGAAGACCCTCCATACCTGGCGCTTCCCGGTGTCTCCCTCCTCCTCCCAGTATTGTAGCGAACCTCAGCACGTGAGCAAGGTAGCCAACGGACTCATATCATCATCCAGATGTCAGCCCCTCCACCCACGGCCTCGGAAAGCCAACCAAAAGGGAGTGCGAACGGGTAAAGAGACGCGGAAAGAGTCGTAGTCGGTAGTGGAAGCCGCGGCTTCTATGGCGGTTCGTTGCTGAAAGTGCGATCGCGAAAGATCGTTGTCCGGGGACTTTCTCCCAAAGCGCGAGACGAGACACCCGTGCGGGCGCTCTGTGCGTAAGCTTCGTTGCGATTCTTCGAGCGAGGAACGTTGGAGGAAGAGAGAGGTGGGTGACGGAAACTTTTTAAGATGGGGCGGAGGCCGGGGGCCGAGCTAGGCGCGCTAGGCAGAAGCGGACTGGCGCCTGCAAGGGTGCCTGGAGAGCTTTGGTGCATCGCCTGTTTCTTTGCTGAGCGCGTCGTCGGTGAAGAACATAAAGTCATCCGGTCTGCTGCGCGCGTAGCAATCCTATTCACTGCTGCCGGTCTCGAAACATCCCCACGTGACTGGAAAGTTCCATACGAGCGCGTACGAATTACTTTCTCGTCTAAGCTTGGGATCAACACCGCAACCTCGCGCAAAGCTTCGCAACAACCAACACCCGCACTTCGAACGCGCCCAGATACAGGGACGCAATCATAAGAGATGGCTCTTTTCGGTCAGGCCGCACCGGCCGCATCTGCCAGCTCCACCACCGGCGACACCAGCAAAGACGTCGAAGTCCCGGCCGGCCAACTGCCCAGCGACAGCATATCTGACCTCCAATTCTCGCCAACGAACGACTTCCTCGCCGTGGGCAGCTGGGACAAGAAGGTCTACATCTATGAGGTCAACGGCAATGGCGCGCAAGGAAAGTGGATATTCGAATGCCAGGGTCATGTTCTGGGTCTCGGATGGTCAAAGGTACGTTTAGCAACATGTTTGGCAGTCATGTCCGAATACTAACATAGGCAGGATGGCACTCGTATAGCAGCCGGCGACTCAACAGGCATGCTCAACATTGTCGACTTCCGCACTGCCCCCGCCAGCGGCACCGTCCCTGCGCAACAAGCCAAGGCCCACGAGAACGGCATCAAGTGCGTCCGCTGGTTCCAGACCGGCGGCAAGGACTACGTCGCGACTGGTTCCTGGGACAAGACCGTCAAGTTCTGGGACCTCCAGGGTGCCGAGCCCGTCGGTACTCTGACGTGCCAGGAGCGCGTCTACAGCATGGACATCAAGGATCAATTGCTCGTCATCGCAACCGCCGAGCGCCACATCCACATGGTCAACCTCTCGAACCCCACAACCATCTACAAGACCATCACCAGTCCCCTTAAGTGGCAGACAAGGGCCGTGAGCTGCTTTACAGATGCGACTGGCTTCGCCGTGGGCTCCATCGAAGGACGATGCGCCATTCAATATGTCGAAGACAAGGACACCAGGTAAGCATTCCCACGTCTACATATTTCACCACACCATCTAACTCATACCCAGCCTCAACTTCTCCTTCAAGTGCCACCGCCAGCAAGACCCCGCCAACCGCGACATCGCAAAGGTCCACTCCGTAAACGCCATCTCCTTCCACCCCCAACACGGCACCTTCTCCACCGCCGGTTCCGACGGCACCTTCCACTTCTGGGACAAGGACGCCAAGCACCGTCTCAAGGGCTACCCCGAAGTCGGCGGCAGCATCGTCGCGACGGGCTTCAGCAAGGACGGAAACATTTTCGCCTACGCCGTCAGCTACGACTGGAGCAAGGGCTACGGTGGCAACACGCAAAACTACCCCATCAAGATCAAACTTCACCCCATTTTGGGAGACGAGTGCAAGCCCAGGCCTGGAAGTAAGAAGAGGTAATCCCTGAGTAACTCGGGGATTTCCTTTTTTCTTTCCTGTTTGATTTGTTGGCACTTTTGCTGACAAGCCGTGTCTGAAGAAGCGGAGATGAGAGCGGAGACGACAGCGGAGACGAGAGAGAAGGCGAAAGCGGCAGGCATCGAAGCTTTGTTGGCTGCGAGTCTGCCGCCCGGAAAGCGACCGAGTCGTGCATTTCGAGGTCTATAAGAACGGTGCGTGCGTACTTGGTTTTGTACAGATCGACATTGCTCGGCCGCACGCTACGTACTCTCTGTGCTCGATCAAACGATATCACGGTGTTTGATGTTTTTTCTTGGTTTCCTGCATTAGCGTTCAAGGGACTGGCGTATAGAGAGATATAGTATCATGGGCTGTGGAGGCTCCAGAGTAGGATAGGCAGGAAAATGTAATCTTGTTACTGTAAGGCCTTTTCGTTGACTGTAATTGCAGGGTGCGTGGGCATGTTGTGCTAGTGCCGTCTTCTAGAGTGCAGTTGTATTGACTATGTGGGTAAAACATCAAGGCTCCGAGCAGAAACAAAAGTTACTGATACTCAATGCGCATGATTGATCACATCAGCTGCTTGACAGCAAACCCGGTCCCCCATGTATATATAAACTCTTCAATTTTCCCTCCATCCTGCCTCCAAGCAGTCAACTACCCACTCACCCACTCACCCACTCACCCACTCACCCACTCACCCACTCACCCCTCCCCCTTCTCTCCCATCTTCTCACATTGCCACCGCCATGCTAACAAACCACCCAGTCACCCGGCCAAGCATCTCACAGCTCCACCTTTCGCCCCGCCCCGCCCCCCTCGCTCGTCTACACCATTCCCTTGTTTCCATGTTTTCGCGCTTCCCTGCGCGTCGGGACGCAGACACACTCTATATCTCCCGGATGTCCAAAGTACCAGTACCAGCGATTTTCCTTACAACCATCCACCTGCCCCCTTGCGTGGGGCCCTCTAGATTGGGGGACAGACAAGCATACCACCCGCACAAGGAGACTTGCAACCTAGCCTTCAGAGAGGGGAATTTGTTGCTTGTCAGATATGTGTGGATCGGCCTACCAATCTATTGTGTTTTGTTTTGCCACTGGTTTTGCGCGACTTTGTTTGGGGGGAAGGGGGCCGATGGCACGGGGTAGGAGGTAGGAGGTAAGTGGACTTTCTCGTTCGTGATGGGGAATGGGTGAGTGAGTGGGTACGTCGGAGGTTTCGGGGAACCTATGAATAAAAGGGTTGGAGATGGGGCGTGAGAAAAGGCTGGAACGAGGTATGTTGTTCTGCTTTGGGATTTGAGAACTTTGACCGTGAACAGGAATGCGCCGTCGTCATTTTAGAGTGGAAGAAACGAGATGGGGAGCTGTGGGAGGGAGTGTCAAAAAAGAGGCTGTGGAGACAACTTTCTGAGCTGGTGATGGTAGGGCGCATGATGAGAATGAGAATAGACTGGGAACATGAGATATCTTAATCCAGCTTCGTTGCTTCAATAAAAGGGCAGAATGCACAATGCGGCATGATCAGATTGTAGTTACGCCCTTCATATTCCAAATGTAGATGTCGTGACTTCATCGCAACCACGGTACGCAACTTCCACGCCCAACATCAGCAATGCACACCTGCCATATAAGGTTCGTCTACACGACGCTCTCATTACCTCAAATCATCTACAACTTCCCCTCCACATCCCACTCCGCTTCCCAGATTCCAACGCACAACACCTCCCAAAATGCACCTCCGCAAAATCCCCTACTCCCTCGTCTTAACCGACACCGCCGCCATAGCCGCCAACACCGACTCCTCTAACCCATCATCCCGCTCCCAACGCTTCAGCACCGCCCACCACCACCTCTCAGAAATAATCCCCGTCGTCCCCTCAAACCCACATTTCACGCACGAAACACCACCCTGGACACCCTACGGCTACACACTCTGGCACCCCTTAATCGCCTCCTCCCAAAACCTGTCCGAATACCACGAAATACTCCTCCCTAGTTTCCTCTACGAAGACCTACTACGCTGCCACAGCGCGTGGGTATCGACATCCCGCATCCCCACCTCCCTCCTCAACGACGTCGTCGAAACACTGCTCTGCACTAAATCAGGCAAGAAACTCGCTGGTCTCTTAGATGGAAAGCGGCAATGGTTCATCCGCCTTGATCAGATGTCGCCCAAAGACTCGCTCATGGGAGGCAAGCTTCCTAGCTCGACCTGCGAAGACGTCATCACAAAGATCTGTTCTAGTATGCGCGCGTACGGCTGTCTGACACGCGAGTTTGAAGACGCGAGGAAGGACGGGAGGGAGATGGAGATTAAACTCGTGTTGAATCCGTGGGATGAGGGTATGGATGCCGGAAAGGAGTTTCGTGTGTTCGTTCCGCCGCCGGCTGCGAAGACCGGACGAGAGGTAACCACGGCGGAGTTTGAGATTAGTGCGATCAGTCAATATAGGTGGCCGATGGGGTTTGAAGCGCCGTGGGGGTTCAACTTGGAGCGAACTGTTGAGCTGGTTGATGTGGGGGCGAAGAAGGTGTTGGAGGATATTGTGACGTACGCAGAGAAAGAGTTGAGTGAGGAGATCACGGGATTGCTGCTGAGGTATGGGTTTAGTTATGATGTTGCGCTACAGCAAGATGGGAGTGTGCAGTTGGTGGAGATCAATCCTTTTGGCGCGCTGTCCGGGTGTGGAGCTTGTTTGTTCAATTGGGTTTTGGATGGAAAGGTGCTGTATGGGTTGGAGGAGCCGGAGTTCACTGTGACGGTGGAGGAAGAAGGATAGGTGGCTGTTTGTGTGTCTTTGTGCATTTTGCACTATGTACTGGATCTTTGCGATCTGCGGATGCTGGCGGTTGACCTAACGTCCAAAGAGACTTCTAGTCTGTCGGCATCTTCTCGGAAACGGCTGTCGCTTTTGAGCTATAGTGCTATGGTCAAATCTTAGGCCCGTCATCAGAAGGCCCATCAATCTGCCCGTGCATTTTCCTCATTACCCGCTCTTGCGTTTCTCCGCGCCTCATCGCTCCTGAGAAGCTCTCCAAGCGTCTTGAAGTTAACCGGCTTCGTCATGAAGTGATCAATCCCCGAACTCCATGCCTCCAACTTGGCACTCGAAGATGCTAAGCCAGTAAGTGCGACGATGGAACATCGTGGCAGATTGTTACTCCGCTCGTATTCACGAATCGCACGTGTAGCGCTCATACCGTCCATGACCGGCATAGACATATCCATCAATATAACGTCATATTTGCGCGCACCTTCCTGGTACTTATGCAGTGCTTCTTGTCCGTTCGACGCTTGTTCGAATGGAAGGCCGTGTTTCTTCATGAACGCGACGAGCAGTCGTCGGTTCAGCATGTTGTCGTCGACGATGAGGGTGTGCGATATCACAGGATCCTCTTCCTGAGGCGACGTAACCGAATGCTGCACACTTGTGGATCCAGCGGTAGAAGGAGCGACTGCTTCAGGTGACGTCAAGCTGAGAGACTCCATGGAATTCTGCATCGACTTGGTTGGTGTAGAGGGGTGTGATTGTTGTCGAGGCTGTGGCAGTGGACTAGAGACTCCGGCAGGTTGTAGGTTTTCGGCGGGATGTTCAAAACGATCCAGGCATCGGTTGAGAACCCATGCGAGCTTGTAAGGTCCACACGGTTGCGTGATGATCTCAACTACCGACTCACGATTGGTAACGCGGACATCGGAGCGCAAAGTCGCTGCTTCGAGTGCATCCATCCCCACAAAGATGGTCACTGGGGCGCGCTGGCCGTTGGGCCTCCGTTTCCGGATCGTGGCGAGGTAGTCAAAGGACAACTCCGGGCAGATGACCATGTCGGCGTCATGACCTTCCCACTCGTGCGTCTTCACCACTTCCATCTTAAGATGTGTCTCCAAGGTATAAACCAGTGCGTTGGTGAAGCGTAACAGACCTTCGTCCGTTTTGGAGACCGTGGTGTCTTCGGTTGGTTTTTCTATCTTCTTGCGAAGGATGCATATTCTCCGACCTTCTAACCTTGGTAGATAAGACAGAAACTGCGCTCGTTCAGTCGTCATCGCACCGGGTATTTCTGGTTTGTTAAGGGCAAGTTTGACAATGAGTTTAGTGCCGGTTTTTGGGTCACTGCTAACTTCAACCTTGCCGCCGTTCGTGTCGATTATCTGACGCACGATACTCATGCCCAGGCCTGTACCCGGGGCGTGAGGATTCTCCTGGGAGAATGGCTGGAAGAGGCGGTTCGCGAGAAAACTAGAACTCATGCCCGAGCCAGTGTCCGTAATGGTGAGTGTGATCGCTGCAGGCGCATCGGCATTTTCAGCTAGCTTGTTGGATCTCAAGGAAACATGAATGTACCCCGTTTCAGTATACTTGACAGCGTTACCAAACAAGTTCATCACGATTCTTCTCCACGATCCAATCGGAAATGAAAAGACCCAATCATCATCGTAAGCCAAATCGAAAACGACAAAACGTGCTCTGCGCGGAGGGAACGAGATTGCGTGTTCATCTGTAGGCGATATAGGTGCTTCCATGAGCTTGGAGGTGGCTGGAATGTATGATGACCCAGAGAACACTGCTTCTACGACCTCTTCGGTTGCGATTCCAAGATCAAATGCGGAAACCTTTCTTCGCCGGCTCTTCACTGGCTTGGAAGATAGCCGTATTGTATTCTCGTTTTTCAGTTTCTTCGAGGAAACTATCTTCATTTCTTCGCTGATTTTGGCGTAGTCCATGACGTGGTTGATGGTATCAAGGAGCGTCGTACCGCAAGCGTGCAAAGAGTTCATCATACTCGTCTGGAATGAGTCCAACGGCGTGTCTTTGATGAACTCTAGTGTACCAAGTATTCCGTGCAAGGGCGAACGTAACTCATGTGAAATGGACGAGATGAATGTCGATTTGGCCTGTGATAATCTCTCAGCTCTTGCAAAATCGTTAGCTTAAGCGCTTACTTACCTGATCCAAGGCCGCGGCATCTAGTCGTGAGAGCTCTCTCATGATCGAGTGACTGAAAATCTTGAAATATGCCATGTCCACAGATGCGGACAGTAGCCTGTATGGATCATTACTCCAGCACAGACAGCCGGCAAACCATCTAGCCCTTTCAAAGTCCCAAAAGGGAATAAAAGCGATACTGCGTGCTTTGGGAAACATCGCCTGGATAGCAGCCGATCCCCGCTGCGGTCGGTCGTTGGTCTTGCGTTTCGATGGCGGGGCAGGCGTCAGATGTTCAGCAACCTTAGGGCTCGAAATCGATTCCTCGCTCGAGGATAAGGAACAGCCTTCAGCGTTGAAGGTAAAGATCTTGCCATGTGGATATTCGTGAAATAAGCGGGAAAGGTCAGGCTCCAGCAAAGTCCCGTATTCCGACTCCTTGTCGCTCGGCGTTGCTACTCCAAGTAGCTGACACATTTTGGAACTTGACGAAGAAGTGCCGCGGGCATAACCTTCGGTACTGTTGGAGCTTGCCTCATCGCTTGAAGATCTAGATCGATACGACTCGGAGGGGGCATCAGTATCGCTTCTTGAGGCGCTGTTGCCGCGCCGCTGCCCCGCGCTTGCCGCAACGCTCGCATCTAGGATCAGCACTCCGTCAAGATCGCTTGAGCTCATCAACACATTTGCAGCACGCGAGAACATCGACTTCGAGTCAGTGGGTAGAATAGAGTCCTCTAGATTTATTGCATCGAGTCAGTGCGTATCTCATGTGAAGCTTGGAGAGATAGTCCTTACGAAGTGTACCGATCGACCGATGTCTATTGGATCTGGCACGACTCGTCTTGGCCATTGCTGATGGGGATTGAACAGAAGTAGTCTGCTTCGTTTCGACTTTATCTCGCGTATCCTTCGCTCCGTCCATATCCGTTTTGGACGCCGCGGAAGAGTAATCTGACGGTGTCTGAACGACTGCTGTCAAATCGTGCCGAACGTCTCCGTCGAAAGGAGACAGAACAGATGCGCCTTCTGCGAAGGAGACAAGCCCCCGAGTGAACCTTTCTCCTCGCCTGTACTGATCTCTGATCGTATATGTGTTCAGATAGCTCATGACCGTAGAACCAAGGTCCCTTAACAAAGAAAGTTCTTCTTCGGAAAGACCGTCTCGAACCTTGTTGTCGAAGATGCATAGCGATCCGACTATTGCGCCGTTGGGAGACATCAACGCGACGCTGGCGTAGAAGCGCATATCAGAATTCCCTTGGACATCGTCTCGAAAGCATGTCCCCTTATTCTTCGTGAGGTCGTTGATGATAAAGACTGGGTTCTCATTTCGGTTCAGTTCCAGGACCTTTTCACATATGCCCCAGCTCCGCGGGATGCTTACGTTCCCAAGCCAACAGCTGTTTGGAGCGTCCCCTGGTGCTTCTGGCCGCAACGGTAAGTCACAAGTCGCCTCCGCAAGTATGTGTTGTCGTTCATCGTCGAGGAGCGATATCATGGACCGCTGGGCCCCCATCCGGATAGCTGTAAGTTGACACAAGGCTGTCAGAGTCGAATCTGGGGATAAGCGGGGTACATGGTTTTCCAGATTGTCGACATGAGGAATATTGCGAAACGCCGCGCCGTAGAGGAGCAGCACATCGCGCTCTCTTCTCATCCCATAGCGGTCCGTTTTGGTCTCATCGCGGCTGTCCAAATGTTGACCCATGATGCGTAGTACGAGCGACTAAATCACGAAAGGTCGGAGGCGTCCACTAGCTTTCTCAGGCTCCATGCTTCGCCGTTGCAACAGTAGAGAGAAACAGTAAATACTTGCATTCAACAAACATCAGACATCGTGAGGTATGAAGTGAAAGTTTGCATATCGCCACGCGAGACGAGCCGACTCAACACAGGCGGCCATAGGACTTGCGGGTCGGCAGGGAGCTAGCGTAGCTTTTCGCACCTGAGTGCGCTAATGCACTCTGGTACCTTCTCACTGGCCACCTGCGTGTTCCGCATTCCCATTGCATCTAGATTTGCCCTAGGGCATCTAGAAGTGTGTATGGACAATCTGCAATCTCGGTCCCTCAAAGTGCACTCCAATGACAGGCGAGATCGGCCTCTAACGAGGGCTAATCTCACTCGGCTGCAGATGTGGCGAATCTGGCGAATCTACAGCGTGCTAGCTGTGGCTATTTGTAACGTAAGCGGCTGGCATATGCAGATACGCACTTGTGCGCGATGTAAGACTTTCAGACAACGATTTGCGGATGGAAGGCTGATGATGGAAGAGTGCTGGGCGGAGGGCAGGACAACGGCAACGTCAAATGACGAAGCTATTTCGGCGTCTCGATGTTAGCGCCTTGGCAAAGTCATCCGCGAGGTCGCGGGCTGCAACTTGCGTTCGCTACCCAGCAGAACTTGCGACTGCAGCACCTGAGAGACCAACGACATTGTGACATAAGTACTTCAGTATCAACGAAGTCATTGGGCTTGCGTTTTGTCGGCTCACAAAGAATGTGCTACTGAGGTAACTACCTAGGTAGGGATAGGAAACACCGAGATTACCCAAAAAAGAAAGACTATTGAACGGGAAACATTGATCAGTCTACCTGCAAAGCATCATCATTTCTCAAGCATTGATCTCGCGCATACTCCTCATCATCATGACCGTGTATGTCGGTCACGTACTTCTCAAACTCGTTGACAACCCGGACTGCCTGGTCTACATGCGCGTAGCGCAGAGATTCCTTTTTGTATCGCGCGAGCTGGCGAGCTGTATTGATCGTGTTCCTGATCTGGCGGCCATTGAGTTTGTGCCGGGCGAGGATGTCGAGCTTTTTGCTTATCTCCTCGGTGTTGATGTTCTCACCAGCCTCCGACAATGACTTGACAAAGTTCCTCCAGACTTCCCAACGGCCGTCTCTGTTCAGCGGCGGGTAGTGGAGCGCAAGCTGTATGCGTGACTTGAACGCTTCATCGAAGGTACCGATGCGGTTTGTCGTCAAGATCAAGATACCATCGTAGTACTCTAGGACGCGCAGGAACACGGAGACCAGCGCGTTGCGTTGAAGATCCATCTTTGTTCTCTCTTCGAGGAAGACATCTGCTTCGTCGAGTAGAACCACACAGTTCCAATTGTTTCCGATGAACAGGGCAGATTCGAGGTATTTCTCCACGCTTTCGGCATCTGTCCCGATATCGCCGCAAGTCACCCTATACAAGGGACGATGAACAAGCTCTGCGATGCTTTCTGCTGTGAGAGTCTTGCCAGTACCTGGACCACCATGGAGCAGCATGATGAGCCCTTCACCCTTTCCGTCCATAAAATCGGTCTTGATATCGCTGCTTTTCTCAATGTGAACTGTAACCAATGCTTTTACCAGGTCCTTCTTGCCTTCCTCAAGGACTAGTCGATTATCGAAGACACCGCTGTTCCATTTGATATCTTGAATGTGTTCCACAAGTAGTGTGTCTGTGTTGATGATCAGCATTCGTATGACTGAGAGATCCGGTGAACGTACTCCACTTCTTGTTGTGAAAGCCGTATCCCTTCATAGTTGCCGGCAGCATTAGTGCAAAGGCACCACCTGGGGGTTCCTCTTTCTTCAACTCTTCACTGCTGAGTTCGCTTTGGGATGTCCGGTCATCATCGCGGCCATGCATCAGCTTGTAAGCTTCCGCATCGACCATATACCGCAAATTAGCCTGGCTGTGTAAGCAGAGCTCTTTTCCACTAATATTGAGATCTTACAAGCTGCGACTCAAGGCCCAACGGAGGCGATTGGTAATTCACGTATCTTCGTCGTCGGCAACTCCAAAAAGTATTACCGCGTACGCGCAAGCTAGATTCAACCCCGTCTCCTGCGTAGCGTATAGGATACACTGAAAGGTCCTTGATCTTTACCTGATCTAAGCTAGATGACCATTCGATGTGCATCGTAGTGTGTTTTTGGAAGAAGTTGCCATCGTACTCCCAAGACCAGCATTCCATTTCGATTGTGTTTGGACTGAGTAGAAGGCACGATTTTACACTGAAGGCACGGTACTGGCTTTCAAACATCGTGACCACTGTATCATCTGGTCGGAAAAGCATCAGCCAATGTTTCCGGCTTACCAATCCCGCATCAGACAGCTGTTCCAGCTCCCCGTAATCCAAAGCCAAACGCTCGGTTATGTAATCAGACAACACCTTAAGATCCTTTTGTTGTTGTGGCTCCAGTGCTTGTGCCCGAGGTCCAACAAAGACATGTTTTAATTGGTCCAATTTCGGATACGGGTGATCAAGATCCTCGTCGAAATACCACTCGTCCATTATTTCCGCGTTCTGGTCTTGCAACGTGTGCAGAGCTTCCTCAAGGTTTTCCGATAACTTTAGCCGCTCAGAAGTCGCAATCGCTCTCGGTCCATCATGTTGAAGCACTCGAAAGTATGGCTTCATGTCGATACCTATATCCTCAGGCACCGAAGGCACAGGAATACGTATGAATGCGTCTTTGATGTTGTCATGGTAAGCTTCGCAATCGTAGTCGATAAATATCGCAAAACTGAACCCGAGGCATTCGCCCAAGTAGTTGTCCACATCTCGCAGGCGGTCTTTGCCATGTAGGGCTCTGGCTTGATGGTCGGATGCGATCATAGCTGGAGTGTCGCGATAGTAGGATCTTGAGGGGTGGCTCTCATGATATTTTCGTGTACCGGAGCAGGTCACACAATGTATGGTAACTTGTTGCGCGACAGATTCGTCTGTTGATAGACGTGCTCGCTTGGAGATATCAACCTCAGGCGGTTGCTGGGTGGAATGGTGCGTACTGGCTGTTAGAGCCTCGTCGGGGCTTTGTAAGCGCTTTCTTTTGGCATGGGCCTCCATGTGGTATAACTCAGTATTAGACATACGATGGGAGAGTCTGGGTTGCTCGTTGATGGCGAGAGGATGAGTGCAGCTGAGTTAATGTATACATCGTTCCTCACCGGTCAAAGGGGGCTTGGACGAAAGCTAAACTTGTTTAGGTACAGCGCCACCAAGCCACATGGTGCATGCTGCATGCAAGCTCCTGAAAACCCTGTTCCACATTCAAGGCCTCCTATACTACCTAGGTATATCTGCCACACCGGTTTATCGCTGCCAGAAATCACAGTCCTGTAGACACTTCTGTAGATATCGTACAGCGCTCGTCTATTCTGTAGATCTTGCAGATCGCTGTACGTTGTGTACCATTGATAATCTTGATCGACACGTAATGGCGATTTCATACTCGCTCTTCTTCAAATTACGCTTTAACTATACTGCGCAACCTGTGCATCTCTTCCAAGAGCTTACGTGGGTCTCGGTTCTCGGGAGTAGTGTCTTGAAGCTTGGAGAGAAAACGAGGAGGGCGCTGCATTGGCACTGCGTCCGTTCGTCTGTGCAGATGTCCAACAGGATTATACCTATGATCATGAGAATAGCCTGGCGGGCCAGTTGCTCTCAAAGCAGGATTGGATAGTTGTTCCCGTAAATAATCCGCCCTTTGTGATAGTTCACGGCTAGTGTGCCGGTCACTCGCGCGATTTCGTAACTGGTTTTTTCCGGCTTTCTGCTGAGTAAACAGCGACCGAGGGGGATGGTCAGAGTTGTCTATTGAGACGCCAGAGTCCACATCCTGGACTGTAGAAGTGTCGCGCATTGCTATCCTGTGTTGACGAGCTAGACTTTTGGCATAGACTTCAATGTTCCGCTGCCCAAGATCGTTGTCTGACGGAATATACTCATCGGATCGGTTGCTGGTCTCCTCAATGTTTTCGAATCCATCCTCGCGCTGTTCCCGAGCTGTAATTTGCGCTCCACGGCTGGTGACAGGCTCGACTTTGGCGGGTCGGTTGAGAGGCTGCCCCAAAGCCATAAACTGCGCTTTACGACGCTTGCAAGCGTCTGTTGTGCGGTCTTCTGAGATCGTGTACTTTAGGTCTCCGCGAAAAGATCTGTACCCTGAGCAAAGCGTCCGGTCATTGGCGATTGCTGGAGACCGACTATCAGACTCGTCAATACGTTGTGTCCGGGCGCTTCCTGAGGATACATCGGCAGGTGTCGTTTGCTGGGTGCTTAGCTTGCGCATGGTTTCCTTCTGCGCACGGGGAAAACCGTTAACCTCAGGTGCTTTGGGTCCATCAATGTCCTGGCTGCGATCCGCAATCATGCTGGTGGGGCGAGAGTCACGTTCCAAGCTGCCAGCACGTGGCCTCCGCCAGGCTGGCTCTGTGTCACGGTACATGCTCGCGGGGTCGGTGTAGGAGTAGCCATCGCCTGGACTCATCATACCTGGCTGAGGCCCGCCACGCCAATAGTTTCCTTGCATCCGGCCATCGCGCACAGCTTCCATCTGCACAGGCGTCATTTGTTGACCGTTAAAGTTGGATGGGTGCGGGAATGAGCTCGTGGGGCCGTCCATCCCAGGGTGGACGTGCTGCATTCCCTTAGACTGTACTGGTATGTTGGGACTTCCATCCACAGAGGTCTGGCGGGTGTCTCGTTGCATCGAGTGGGGAGGAAGACCAACGAACGGCCCTTTCTGCCCATCTCTCATTGCTTGCAGCTGTTTTGCTTGCTCCGGGTTCAAGTTTTCCAGGGGTTCCTGAGATACTAATCCGCCCTGCTGATGGGCAAGCATAGCTTGTTCTTGCTGCCGATGCATGAATGCTTGCTGGGCGGTCAATTGCTGCTGCATCATCGCAGGAGTCATTATTTGGGATGATGGGGACGCGGTTCCCTCGGCTGTTTCAGGTCGGTTTGGCTGGACCGGCGGCTCGTGCGGTCGTTGCCAGACATCGTTGAGATAGTCTTTACGATGCTTGCGTTGTTGCTCGAGCTGCTTGTTGACTTCAGCTGTTTGCGCAGCTGCGTTAAGGATCTCGCCGGACGGGGTTGGCCGCGCAAACGTGGGACGGTCATTCTCGTGCCTTTCGGTTACTGGGCTTGGAGATTGAACATGCGCTCTCCTTCTCTTGAGATCCGCTCGGGGCGTTTCTCCCAAGCCTGCCGGTATACCTGTCCAACGAGGTGGGGTAGGGGTGCCGTCGTCCCTCCGAAGGCTGTACGTTGATCCTGCCTGCTTGATCCCTGCCTGCTCACCAAACTTTGGTCGCGCAGTATCAACGTCGTACGTATACCCATACGAAGCTTTTTCCGCCTTGATGGGCCCATGCTTCGCTCTTGTTCGTCTGGATGGCGTCGGATGCACGAGGCCACCCGGTGTGGTCTGGTACGGTCGAGCTGGGTGGTTGATAGGTGGTGGTGTGTAAGTGTTGGGTGGCGGCGCAAAAGTGCCGGGTGGTGGTATGTAAGTGTTGGGTAGTGGTGTGTAAGTGATGGGTAGTGGTGGTCGTGTGTAAGTGATAGGTGGTGGTGGTGCGTGTGCGTATGGATAGCTTGAGGTAATCATCGTGCGACTGCCTGTCTATGGATATGTACTCAAAGTGTCGGCAGGCTGAGCATCAGTAATCCAACGAGGTTTTGGTGCTCGTCGGGATATTTGCCACGTAATATTGGTGGTCGCGTGGCTGCTTGCGGTGACATAGAATTCGTTGAGCTAACCTGAATCCAAATCTAAAAGATGGACTCGCGGATTTTTGCGGTGCAGCGTGTTCCTCGGTTTTGAAGCAGGCTTTCGTTACGGAAGGGTGAGTCTCTGTGCAAGACGAGCGGGAAATAGCGGTGTGGGCGCAAACACCAGTCCTATGCGACGGTTTCGTCGACAACGTAGTTGGGCGACTCTATGAGGTAGAATAAAGGTGGCGAGTGAAGGAGATGGCGACTTGCTATCTGATCGAAAGATGGTATTTGCGAAAGGGATTGGAAGATGCGCCTTTGTGCAGGAGAACAGGCTGGTGTGCGAGGACTGCGCGTGTCGACGTGTACGCAGCGTGCAGCCTTTCCTCGGCACAGCCTCAGCCTTCATGCACAGCCCGCTTTCCAACAAGTTGCCTTGATGGAAGGTCAGCGACCGCCCGCATTGCTAGATTCGCAACTATTCGGCAGCTTTGCATGCTAGATCGGAAAACTATCGCATAGTCAACATGTCTGTTATAGTGGTGCGCGACCCACATGCGTCCTGGTACACAGCAGCGCCAGGCCAGGAGTAGGCATACTCAACCAATCACAAGATGCGCAGAGAAGGCTAAAAATTGTAGGAACCGAAACATCGCGGCGGAAGCGTATCGGGCTGCCATCGAACACCTCAAGAATGAGCTGGACATCTCTCTCGACGATTCAGTCCCTCATAAGTTCCAAGCGTCCATAAAGGATGTCTTCAGCGTGGTGGAGAATGCCAAGAAGGATTACGAAGACAAGGGCAAGCAGGACAAGCATGCAGAGATGAGGCAATCGCTCGAGAGGCTGTCCGGGCGCATCATGTACTATGGCAAAGTCATGGACACCCTGGCGCAGCATCACCCGGAGTATGTGGCTCTGGTGTGGGGTGCCATGAAGTTCGTTCTGACGGTATGTCACCCCAAGTTCAAGCCCGCGCTTTCGAACGTGGGGTACTGACGCGCTGTTTGCAAGGGCGTGATCAATCGAGCCATCCTCTTCGAAAAGCTATCGCAGGCTCTCATCGCTATTGGCGACGTGCTGCCACGCATGGATCTGAGTGCAGAGCTGTACCAGACTCAGTACATGGAAGCTGCACTTTCACGGCTGTTCACATACATCATTCTTTTCCTCCGGCTTTGCGTGCGTTGGTACAAGAAGAGCCCTCTGGGTCGGATATGTTCTGCCATCAAGACACCGTTCGAGCTTGGTTACCAAGACCTGGTGAACCATATCCAGGAGTGTTCGAAAGCGGTGGATGACCTTGCCAGCGCTGGCGCTCGAGCCGAAATCCGCGACGTCCATACCCTAGCCATGCTGCAACATGCGCAGATTCGAGAGCTTGATGCAAAGCTGGCGGGCGTGATGGAAGGGCAGAAGAAGTTTGCAGCCCACATTACCCAACTTCTACAGGTTGCAACTTCGCACAAAAGCATTACGGAGCGGATAGGTGTCGACGTCTGTAGCATAAGCAAGACAGTGTATCGTCTCGAGTTCAGCAGAGTGATGCAGTTCTTCGAACCCAAGGTATTGCCCGAGACGGCCCTGCTCAAAGTGCGATCACTCGTGCATCGGGACACGACGCCAAGCTTGCCTAGCGCTAACGAACAGAGAGTGCGCAAAACCATCCTGAATTGGGCTTTTGGGAAGAGGTCGTCGCTTCTCGTCGTTCAAGTCGGCATTCGTGCGCAAAAGCAAGCGAAAGAGCTGGCAACGAATGTGATCCAGAGCATGAAGCTCGGAAGTCAACACGTGTTCTGGAACCTACCTTCGGGCCGCACGTCTTCAGACGCGCAAACCATCGAGGAGCTGTTCAGAGGGATCATCTTCCAGGTACTTCAACACTCGGGTGATCTGTTCAACAGCTGTGCCGAGCAGTTGAACCTCTCAAAGATCCACGCTACTCATACGGAGCGCGAATGGGTCGATCTTGTCTGCCTCCTCTTTTCCAAATTACCGACAGCCTTCGTAATAATCGAGACCGAAGCGCTTCAGAAGACCTACCGACACGATCCTGACTGGAGCAAACGACTTTGCCAGTATCTTGAAATGATCGCTGACCGAAGCTCAGAAGCAGGTTGTGAGCTGAAAATCTTGCTCGTCCTGTATGGAAACTCTCATCGAGGCGGTGCGGCTGCTTCAAACTCGAAGAACGTCCGTGTCGCGACTTTGCAGCCGCCAAATCCAGTGCCTCCACATCTGCGGCACGTAGCGCGTCGATCCGGTTTAGTAGCCAAGGAATGGAAAATGCAAAGGCCAAAAGGACGAATATAGCGGGATATCATAGCCACTCAGTCCAAATAAAGAAATTGCAGTGTAGTTGACGGCATGGAGGGAGGGACAGACCCTTCAGGGCTGTCTGCAATCGAGGGGTGCACGTGACTTATCGATACGCACCTACCATCGCGCGAGCGCGACTGCCCATCATTTCGCGCCCGCATCATCACCTTCCCTCCCAACTTCATCCACCCAAAACCCATCACATCTCCATATCCACCCCGCACTACCACGCGATCTATCTTCATACCATCACCACTGAACTACGTCACCACACAATGATGCTCACGACATCCTTCTTCTCACACCAAATGCCGCACTACTCCGCATACACGCCACCGCGCTCATCACCACTATCCGAGCGCTCCTCAAATGCAGCCCCACGAACATTCGACTTCACCATGTCCTCACCTCTTAAGGAGAAGTCGGCGATGCCACAACGCGCGTTCAAGGCCAATCCGGTGATGCAGACGCGCGACGCCACGACGAAGCGCAGGAGGGACATGTTCTTCAAGCGCGTGCAAAACAACCGGGACGACAAGAAGTGGGAGTCGCGAGGCGAACAGGTACGCGATTCAATCGTACACAGACGCGATCAACGATGCTAATTGATGACGCAGATCCAACAACTCGACTTCGTATCTGAGCGGAAGCGCTGGGAAGCCGAAAAAGCGCGTCAAGCACCCCAAGAGAATGACGACATCGATGAAGAGACCATGGACGACGCGCCGTTACCTGTACTCCCAACTTACGCGCCTCAAACTGATCCCGAGATGAGCGAAGCCGACTACGTCGCCGCACAAGAAGAGTACGAGTTACAACAATTGATCGCGTCAATGGAGCAAGAATCGGATGCGCGGTCACAGCACTATGGTAGTGATGACGACGACTATGATTCGATATTCATGGAGTGCGCGACGGCGGGGCACGATCAGTATCAGCATCAACAGCAACGCGCGCAAGACGCGTTCGGAGGGGACGCGATGGACATGGACATGATGGATTGCTGAAGAACGATTCGAAAATCGGAGACTCTCGAGATTAGCAAGGGATCGCCCCAAAGAAGGCGAATTGGTGGTGACATCATAGCAGCTCTGCACATGTTGTAAGACGGGAAATTTGGCATCTCAGTATAACAGATTGCTTGGGGGGAAGGCATCATATGTACATTGGGTATCTGGGAAGAATGAAGCAGACAGGTTATCGCACAAGGAGATCACTGAGTCGGGCAGCCCTGATCCATATCCTGGAGCGCCTCCTGCGCAGCGTTCATATCACCCACAAGATCGGGCGGTGGAGAGCCAGCGGCTTGCATCTACATTAATATTAGCATTTGCCTTATCACACATGAGAAAGCAATCACATACCTTCTGCATCCTCTCAACAATATACTCCCTATCCTGCGCGTTGTCGTCACTGTACCCTTTCCTTTCGAACCTGCCCACAATCTCCCTAACCAGCGTCTGCTGCTCCTCATACCTCTTCAAATCATCCTTCTCGCACTTCTCCTTATTCTTGTCCATCCACGCTGGGAACTTGTCGTCTAGCTCCTTCATCGGCTCGTATAGGATATCCTTGTTGGTGAGCTGCTCCATCATGCCCATGAGCACTTTGCTGAAGTCCTCGTCGCCGCCCTCGCCCGCACCACCGAAGCCGCCTGATTCCATAGACGCGAGCATCTGCGCGAGGATATCGTCTTGGGAAGAAGACGCGGCGGCGGAGGTTGCGGTATCGGAGGAGGATTGCATGCGCTCCATAGTCTTCTTGATAGTCTCTTGGAAAGTCTTCTCTGCCTTTGCAGCAGTCGCCTTCTCAGACGAACCAGACGCCGCTTTCTCCTTCGCCTCGCCCGCCCCCTCACCCGCATGCGCATGCCCATGTTCATGCCCAAGCGCAGGATCTTCCAACGGATTCGCGCCCCCCATCTCCGCACTCATCTCCTTCATAATCTCGTCGAACTGTTTCTGGAAGTCGCCCTGACCAAGCAACTGCTCCATCTCCTTCTGCAGCTGTGCCTGGAACGCATCTTGGTCTTCCATCATGAGTTCCGCGGGGGAGATGTCAGAGGCTGGCCTGCCGGGTCCGGAAGACGACGGCGCATCGCTGGACTTGGGGTAGGCCGCTTCTATTGACGAGGCGGTGGGGGCTTTGGCGTCGAGCTTCGTGTTTGCGAATTCGTCGAGGACATCGTCGAGGTCGGAGAGGTCGTCTTCTTCGGGGTCGGAGGCTACCTCGGCGGGGGGAGGGGCAGTCGTTGTGGTTGTGGGTTTGGCGGGTTGCTGCTCTTCCTTCTTTGCGGCTGTGTCCGCCATCTTAGTGTGATCTCACTGCGAGATACAGGTAAAGCTTCTATAGGGTTCAAGAAACAGAAATAGGAACAGGCAAAGAAGATCGCAGCTACCTAGGCCAGACACATGCCATGTCAGCCTCGGCACGCGCATAGGCATTGGATCACATAAGCGGGGCAGGCACACCAGCGCCAAGACCTAGCGCGGGGCAGATCGCGCATCGCACCTTCCACCTTCGCGCGACGGGATCTAGCCCCGAATCCCAACGCTGCGGCGCCCGATAATTGTTGTCAGGTCACGTGCAACCGTAACTCGACTTCACCTGGTCCTCCTACCGTCTGCAATCCTCACCTTTACCGCAATCGTAGCACGTTAACAAGCGCGACGCCACACGCTCAAGCTCGCGATAAATAAGACGCCGTCTTTGCAGTTTTCTCTCTATCTTTACCGCACGCTCTGTCGGTATCTCAGCACGGAAATTCAGAGGACAAGCTAGAGGCGCAACGGCCAGCCTTGTACCTACACCGACACCATGTCTCTTTGCGTCAACAGGCTCTCGGAAGAGAGGTGCGCACTCTCGCTCTCCAGCGCCCATGATCTCCGCTAACGCAGCAGCCAGAAAGTCATGGCGACGAGACCACCCCTTCGGCTTCTTCGCAAAGCCCATGCGCGGCTCCAACGGCATGATGGACCTGAAGCGATGGGAATGCGGCATACCAGGAAAAGAAAAGACGATATGGGAAGGCGGTCTATTCAAGCTCGAAGTCGCATTCCCAGATGAGTACCCAACAAAGCCGCCGAAGTGTACGTCCCACACATCTCTCAGCCCATGCCCATTCCTCCTCCGCCAAACCCCAACCCCAACCTATCTGCCTAACAGCCAGCTAACCCGCTCACACAGGCAAATTCGTCCCACCCCTCTTCCACCCCAACGTCTACCCCTCCGGCACCGTCTGCCTCAGCATCCTCAACGAAGAAGAAGGCTGGAAGCCCGCCATCAACATCAAAGAGATCCTGCTAGGCATCCAATCCCTGCTCGACGAGCCGAACCCAGAGAGCCCAGCGCAAGCCGACGCGTTCAACCTGTTCAAAAAGGACAAGGCGGCGTATGAGCGCAAGGTCAAGCAGATTGTCAAGGAGAACCCGGCGCCGTAGTACGTTGTCAGAGCGCCAGGGGAAGAGCTACATATTGTCGGGGATGAGAGGGGGGGAGAGGTGGTGTACCGTGGGGTGAGGATGCCTTTTGGTTATATGTGACTGGCGGTGAGTGAGGGCCGTTATGGGGTTTGGGTATGGGATGGTATGGTCAGGCCTTGATGAGCTGTTATGCAGTGGTCAAGCTGTCTTCCACTCGGCTGCGGCGGATACTGCTCAGACGAGGTCGACATGCTCTTGCATTTTCTTTCTTTCTTTGCCTTTGACTACTTGGTTGAGGCGCGCTTAGTATGGAAACGTCCTTTTGATGAAACACGGATCCTGGCGTTTGGATGAGGTTCCCAAGCATTGTATGGGTCCTTATATGGTGGGAGAAAAGCCGCATGTGGCTATGATACCTGACTTTCTTCTCAGTCTCCTGGCATATTGCTCATGGAGTAATATACACGATTAATTCATCATTGTCGTATTCCATATTTGATATTCATGTGATCGGCTACACGAAGCCATGATAGCTGTGCGTATACTCAGTTATGATGCATGATCCCGCCGAAGCAACAAAACACACGAGATGAAGGACTGCACGCAACGAAGCAAAGAAACATATATTAAACCCATCCGGTCCCTCAGAAAACCCGGTTGATAAGAAGTCCAGCAGCCCTTTCGCCGCATCCTCACGACATTTGTCCAACAATCATCCTAATAGTACAAGCCTCGGATCTTACAGATAGTCACCGCGACTCCCCAATCCAAGTTTGTGTCCTTTGTTACCTTTGTTCACCTTTGCCTCGAGAACCCCAATATAGCAATACAGAAACGGCGACCTAGGTCTGGTGGTATAGCGCGTGCCGGTGTCGTCGTGTCACAGCCTTAGTATGGGCGGTATGCCGATCCGCCTCTTCCGCCACGGTATCCACCACGGTAGCCGCCTCCTCGTGGAGCGCCGCCGCCGCCGTAGCCGCCACCGTAGCCACCACGGCCGCCGTATGGTGAGCCGCGTCCGCCGTATCCGCCTCGGGGACCGCCTCGGCCGCCGCGTCCGCCTCGTGTCATACCGGGGAGGTTCGTTCGCTTTGGTACGACCTGGAAATATGTCAGCTTGCGTTCGCGCATTACGTGGAATGTGTTGTGTATCCCATACCTTTAGATTCCGGCTGCGAAACTGGCTGTTGTCAAGGACCAAGGCCTCATTGACCAGATGCGGTTCTGTGAACTCCACATACGCATACCTGCATACGCTCATTAGCGTTCCGATCTTTCTGCCAAACTCTTGCCAGGTAGCGAAAGATACTTTCGCCCAACTGTAACCCCAACAACATGTACGCGACTGTACGCGCGCATACTGGTTGATGTATGAAAGTAAATGATAAAAACTTGGAAATGCGCAAATCGTTCAAGGAAAACCTCCTCTTAGTACTGACCCTTTGGGATGACCTGTGAACTTGTCGAGCAATATGGTCACACGGTTAATGCTTCCGATGCTCTGGAAGTGTGCCTGGATCTCTTCGGGGGAAGCGCCGTAGTCGACGTTGCCGACAAAGACACTGCGCGCGTCGACGTCTTCTTTGCTCTCGCGCATCTCGTGGCGTTCTAGGTCTGTCTCGCTCTGCATCTGGCGTAGCTTCTGGGCTTCTTCCTCCATCTCTTGTACGCGTCGCCTCATTGCTGAGATCTCTTCCTACATTGCACTGTCAGCATGCTCTTCTGTTTCGGAACTTGTATGTGCGACAGCAGCCCGCTATCCGTGACAAGTCTAACGCGCGCGTTGTGGTGGATGGTATCGTACCTCTTCGTTGGGGTCTTCGGCGGTATCGAGGCGCTCATCCTCCTCGCGCTTCTGTTCGATAACCTCGGCGTCGGACATGATGATTTGGGTGTAGTTGAAAGTCTAGGAGCCACGTCAGTAAATGCTTTCATTTAACGGGCCGTCCATGACTTACCGGGCTAACGTGAATGTTCCGGGGGCGTGAATGGTAATTAGATTGCGACCGTTGGGCGGTTGAATTTCCGTTTTGTTGCGATAAGATCAATCACAGATTGCGACGACGTGTAAATGACTGGTGGAGGGTGTGTAGGCTGAAAGGCAGCTGGCAGAGGTGAAGGTAATGTTGCTCATACGAAATGACGAATGGCGCTGGGGAAGCTCGTAGCGCGACGCTAACAAGGCAGCGGAGCCTCACTTATGTAAGCACGGGCCAGCTGCGAAGCTGCGTCAGACTCCCGACAAACACCTTTGTTCCAATCAGTTATGTCATTGTCAACGCCTTTCACCACAAAGGTTTTGGAACTTGGATTTCATTGTTCTTAAAGAAACCACGTATTCTCCCATAGTCTACCTGGTCTTTTGTTTCGCCAAAGGGGCCACTCAAAGTCGTATACTCAGGTAGCTCTCGAGCTGCCCTTTCTCATGTCCTAGAGTTGTGATTAAGTACAAGCCCGTCTTGGTGTCATACTTCCTCTTCAGTCAGATCCCAGCCTTTGGAGTCCGACACTCCGCCCCAATCCTTGGAATTTGGTACATCGTCCCAGCCTTTGGACTGTACCACTTCTCCCCAACCTTTGTACTGTGTTGCTTCTCCCCAGCCTTTAGACTGTGACACTTCTTCCACAACCTTGTAGTTCAGCGATACCACCATGCTGTAGTCTTCGCGCGCAAGAACTCGGTCCTCATCGGGCAGCTCTGTCAGCTGGTGCAGCTTTCGGAGGACACGAGCCAGATACTGCTTTGGCAGGTCATCGATTGTTGCGAAATCCTCGACGCCCATCGTGCCCACGCCATCGTTGATGCAGAAGGCGTCGACAATGAGCTGGAGTAAAGGATCGTTGTTTGGCAAGACTTCGAAGCACCGTTGAACAGCTGACACACTGAGATAGCTGTCCGAGAGATCAAGGAATATCCAGTCCAAGATTGCCGTCTTTAGCGATCCGACTGACAGTTCTGTTGCTACCAGATAGGCACTGAGCATGCATGACGTCTCATCTTCATCCGTGTTGACCGACGGGCGCAGCCTCGTCTCGTATATCCAATCAACGAAGACGTTGAACCCCTCAACTGACACGGTGTCCAGGTGCCAGTTACTGCGTTCTTTGACGAATGCGCGACGAAAGTATCCAGAATAGTACGTCAAGAGCTGCTTGTGTAGGGTGTAATACTTCTCTTCGGGTCCGACTATGACGATGACAGTCTTTGATGCTGCAGCGGCGCTATGTAGAATGAGTAACATACTTTGTATTTGCAAAGTTCGCAGCCAGTGACTTACCTTGCGCGAGGTGCTTCGGTCTTCTCCATGGTAATGGTCTTGATGTGACGTCTATTGTTCTGATGTTGATGTAATTCAGCGCACACAAGTTGGATGAGACAATGAGGACGTGGTGTGGGGGGAAGAGGTTTGAAGCAGATCTATAGGACTTCCTACTACTTATATCAAGATCGCCAGCGGATTGTGACAGGTGAGAGACATCCTGCTCTCACTTGGGATCCTTCCTGTCAAGGCTTCTTCTTACTGTTCAACTTCACCTACACGGTCATCGATCGCAAAGCACAGTCGAGGAGCTCAGCCAGACTTATCATTTGGAGACCACCGAGTAAGTGAGAATTGAAGGGTGAGACAGTACATGCTGGCCCTTTGAAGCAACGAGCGTTATGACGTGATAGAGCTCGGACGTGCAGAACCACAGTCGGTAGAAGCACGCCCGCCAGAACTCTGTCCATGGGCCCTCCAAAATAAAACATGAGCCATTCTTCTATCCATCAGTCCTTACACGCTCGTTGTAATCTTCCTGCATAAAAGTTTGTACTGCAGTTGGCTTCTCGCCTAGTTCCTGCATTCGTAACATTAAACGAACGAGAAACTCATGTGGCAGGTTCGACAGTTCAGCCTTTTCTCCTTCTTCCAACTTATAGATTGCCTTTTGCGCGGACCATATATCGAGACAGAGTCGGAGTAATGGATCTTCCTTGGGCAAGTTATTGCAAAGTCTGATAATCATACCGCAAGATGGTCTGATTCGCTTACGTCCAGTGTACCGATGGTAATAATGATCCATAAGCGCAGACTTCAAACCGGGCATGATTAGTCGATCTGCTAAGATGTAGCTGCGACTTAGAACGTTGGAAGGTGATTGCGGCTCTGTGTTTACGGTGCCGCGGTAGATCCAATCGACGAAGGTGTCGAATGCGTCGGTTTCGATATCGGTAATGGGTATAACGCCGTCGTCGGTTTCTTTGAATGCGCCGGAAAGTGCTCCACGGAAGTAAGCAGAGTGGTGCTTGAGGAGTTCGGTGTGGAGGATGTACTCTTTGCCCTCCGTACCGATCTTGACGATGACAGTGGGCGAGATCACCGCGGTGCTGTGCAGAAGTTAGTGATGTGTCGTTCTATACCAAGAAGGACATACCTGGGCAGAAGCACCGCGTTTGAAGATGTAATCTCTTCGGTCGCCATGTTTTTGTAGTGTCCGGCGACGGTTTGCGTCGTTCGGAAAAGACCTCGGGACAAGAAGAGGAGGAGTTTGTTCGATATATCGCTTAGGCGGAGCTCGGCGCGTCTCGCTCCGTTACGACGCGCAAGTGAAAGTGAAGGTGAAGACAGGCCGTATTCGTCTTGCCGTTTTAGGCTTTTAGACTCAACCTTGAACTTCTCTGACGACTTCACAGCTCAAAGGCAATACCAGCCCGCGAGAGTCCCTAGGGCTATTCATAGCGACATTGTTCATGATACCGATCCCAACCTTGGAAGGGTTAATTAGTCTCTACCCACACCGAGGTAAGCGCCGACCGCGCATCTCGTGTCGATATAGGTACGATCACTTCTTACTGCATATTCATTGATCAAAAGTACACGGTAAAGTACTAATTACGGCTGTAAACACACGGGATGAAAACAGGATAGCAGCATACTCGTAAGAGTGAAAGCTTAGGACTCTGAATAATAATAAAAAATAAAAAAATATGTACGATCACAACTACCACGAGGGCGTTCGGAGTCAATTATAGGATGCAGAAGCTTGTCTTGACTCTCCAGGTAGGTTCATTAAAATAACTTCGGGCGCGGGTGAACAACGCGCAGTCCTAACAGCCACATTCTGATGGAGTACCGACAGTGCGCCATAACATATCCTTCGAGAGAGAGAATCATGCACGTTTTTTGAGATGCTCGCGGTATACACTCAAGCCGATACGGTGCGCGGCCTAACGACGGGTGAGAATAACTCGGGGATTCGAACGGTGTACTTGTGAAAGTATCGATTGCTATATTGACTACACTAGCTTGGTTGACTACAGCTCAAGTTCTGGGGCTGATAGTGGTGCCACAGCCTGCGGTATACATAGTACCATAACTTAACAAACACACAGATTAGAAGATGATGTAGGCTCCTGCCCTAATATATTTTTCGAAGAATGCGACATAGGCTGTAGCTACCACTGGTATCGATAACAGGTCGCTTGTAAATGTAGTGAGTAAGCCCAGATGTTTTGATCGTTGTTGTGATCGAGCGTCTACTCCGTCTCAACCTCATCGCGATCCACGAAGTCACTTCGCTTGAGCCCCTTATTGAATTTGATTGAAACATCAAGTATATCTTCGGCCACCGTCAAAGCAAGCGTACATATATGGGAAGTGCGAGTGTCCCGTGTATACCAAGTCGGTGACCTCATCCCCACCAACTGCTCGCGCAAGCTGGCGATGCTTAAGCCGTCGAATGGGGCCGTCGGTCGTGGAGAGATGATACCGATGGGCTTCAGTTGCTTCATAAGCGCACCAAGCAGCATAGAGCTACACTCAAAGGGCTGACGAGCCCCATGTGCAGGAGTACATGAGTCTGCATCGCAATACTTGTCAATCCACTTGTGACAAACTTCTATCATCTCCGCAATCGCCTCTGTACGTCGAGATTCTAAGGCTTCTACTCGAGTTAGTCGATAGGCTGCAAAGAACTACGACGCACAACATACGAAGAACAGCTGGTGGAATGCTCAATTCCATATGTTGGATCTTCGGCCGGTTGTTTTTCCGCAGCGCTACGTTGGTGGTACTGTCAAATACCGTGTCCAACTTGAAGACCCAGGAGACGAGCATCCACATCATGAGCTCGCGACCATATGTGTATGGTACTCGGTGCTTCCTCTGAGCGTTCGTGACCCATACATTAGCGATCAGATCGAACGCTTCCCAGCATTGGTAGTAGTCCACTAGCATGGCGACTTTGGCGAGCAACTCCAGACTCAGCTCTTTGGGCACTTGGCGGAAGCGGAGATGAAGCATGTTCAAAAGTATAGCAAATGCTTCTGAGTCCCAGTCTGCGGTTTCCATGTAGTAAAACCCATCGTCTGCTTTGTTGTTTTCGCTCCAAGACATAATCTCGCTTTTGAACTTTGGCGAAGCTGTGATTAGGTGTTGAGACGAGACCTGATACACAAAGCAAGGGCGTTCTGGATCGTCCCCTAAATCGTCTTGAATTTCTGCTCCCTGCCTCGATCTTTCTGCCATCCTTCTCTTCTTCTGTGGCGGGCCTTCTGCCTTCAAATCCTGGTCTGCATCCTCATCTTCCTTGCCCTCTTCTTTGATGACAGACTTATTGGCTGCATCGCCATCTTCGGCTTCACGTTCCCAAACAGCGAAGGGCGCACCCGGGTTGCGTAGGGTGAGCAATACATCCCCAGATTCGGCTATGACGACTCGTTCGTTCGCGTTCGCGGGTGGCGTCATGACATTGGCGACGCGTCACGATGTGGAAAGAAGACGTCAGGAGTGGTGATCCCCGCTTCCAATCCGCTCGCGCTAAGACGCGTCTCTCACGTGTTTCGTCAAAACAGCTAATCTTCAGCGCCACCTCATACAAAGCAAAAGACTGAACAGGTCTGCAGACTACATCAAGAGAAAAACCTGCAAGCTAGGTAACTTAAAGCTGATGTAGGCTCTTGGGTGTTCTGTGTTTGCCTAGGCTGACGTGCCTCTGTGGACGCGTCGGCCATAACAGCAAGCACTACTATACTAACACACTCGCCTCACCTCGATGTCGTTTTGATAACTCATTAACTGATTGGCGCGAGAACGCGACAGGACGCCTCATGATGCAGTACGCATGCCACTACTACCCGACACCCCCGCGCGCATCCCTCTCCACGGGAACACGCCAGCTGGCCTAGAGACTAGAGCTACCTGAGGTGTGCACGCCACAACGCGCCATGCGGCAAATAAGCTTCGCCATTTCACATTTGCCGGGAGTGCGGGTGATGCACATCAAGATCAGCAAAAAGCAAGTTCAGGGCTGCACGTGGTAAAAGCAACGAAAGCTAAAACCATCGTCTCTTCAAACCACTACACACCCATTTAACCACTAGCTTCTCAACGGCGCAATGCACTAACGTTTGACTGGTCCTGGATATGAATATCGCACCGGAAAGTGCTCGCCTAAGGCAGCCTGCTCTAACGTCGACGTTTGGGTTTCGGGGTAATGTGTGGTGGTGATATTGGGAAGTGGTTGAGTTCTTCATGTGAAGATCAGCGTAGGTCCAGGGGAATGTTCAGCCAATATCTTTGAGGATAATGGAGCTGTAGAGATCTTCGAAGTACACGCTCATGTTGTGGAGAGTTTTCGAACGTGTGGGCAGACCTTCCGGGAAATGAGACGAGAAACAGATGATTCAAGATCCAGAGATTTTTGGACTTGAAGGCTGCGACACTGAAGACTACAAATAGCGAAGGGCCAATACCCGTAGACGATGGCGAGGTCAACAACATAAAAAGAAGTATAGTTCGGCAAATCTTGCACACCATCACCATCCACCTATGCACCCTCTCACTATTCCCGACACCACTCTCTCCAACACCCAAAAAATCTCGCCACACCTTCTCCCCACCCACCTCTCCATCTCAGCTGAAGCTCTGCGCGTCACACCAGATCGCCCATCCATCAATCAACATCTCATTATCGATAAACCTCCGATCGGACCGACTTCACCTCCCCGAAGCACAATTCCCAGCTTACCGCCATACTTTCCCACCTTCCACCCTTCCCCTCCCGTCTCACGCAACGCACCATCCAGTCTATCCTTATCCATGGCCATCTTTTCGGACCTTCAGCCTCACATGCAACACGCATCACATCCCCGACAATCCAGCCCCCAGCCCCCGTAATCCCATCATCCACATGACCACGTTCTACTCATGCACAACTGCGCGCAATCAACGTGCACTCCACTAAAGGCCCGGAGAATTTTTTGACTGCACTGTGCCTGGCATGCTATCACAGCAGCGCCCCCACGGAGATGGATTGCCCAGATTAGTTACACCGGCATGTAGCGTGCGACACAGATGATCTAGACGCGCGACTAGTGTCGCTATGCCCGGTGGTACTTTGTGACATTGACGTTTGCGCTTCGCGATTCAATGACAGTAGTGTTACCTTTCGTTCGGCAGTAACAGCTGCGTGGGGTGGACAGGGTGGTAATACTGTGCGTACATATGAGGCCGAACAGATGTCTTCGGTGGTTTTGTGTTTCAAGGCTGTGGGGTGAGGTGGTAGTCGCAGGGAGGTTCCTTGGGGCAAGTGCATAGGTGTGCGGGAGGTGAGGTGAAGTGGATGGCGGGCCGAAGGGGAGTTGGGATGACGTAGGGTTGTGATGCGTGGGTGTTGGGTTGAGTAGAGGGAGGTTTTGCTGAGAAGATAGTGTCAGTTCCATTGCTATTACGATCAGTATGCGTTTTGCGACTACGTGATTGTTTGCATGTGTTTTTATTGGGTTTGAGATGTATATGCATGACCATCTAGAGCTGCCATTTCGACTGAGCTGTCGACTGAACGTTCGTACTCAACCCATTGTTTCTTTGTTCCTCACTCAGAGGATCAAAGCCCACCGTGAATTGTGGTCTCCTCGGATGTGACTCTTCATCGTCATTCGTCAACTCTTGTGTGCTCGTCCCGCTGCTCTTTATGCTGCATGGCCTGTCATCCCCCTTCATGTGCTCCAGCTCATAGGTAAGACCATAGTCGTCGACGCGCTCCTCCACAACCTGGACTTCGTAGCTGACGAAGATGGCGCTGAGCGACTTCTCGATGATGGGCCAGAAAATCGGCATGGAGGCGCAGATGATGGCGAGGTCGATTTCGAGGCAGGTGAGGATGATCAGAGTTGGCGACCACCAGGTGTAGTCGACGTAGGGATAGGTTGCGCCTTTGGTTTCGACGATGCCGTGGAGTCGCCAGACTGATGTTCCGACAACGCTGTGATCGTGTTAGTATGGAATGCTTGGGCCGGGTGGCATGAGCGACTTACACAGCTCCAAAAGTGAACACGCCAGCCATTGCGAACACGTTCTTGGATCGCAGGTTTGGTGTTCTGAACAACACCATTGGCGCAATGAAGATGGAGATATCGAACAACATGTTGGTGGCCGCTTGCGCCTTGTACGTAGCGATGAAGCTATCAAGGTCTCCGAGTCCGAAGCCGTAGCAATTCGCAGATACTGTGCGGTCCCAGTACCCTCGCACTGGAAAGCAAGGAAACCATGCGGTGATCGAAAAGGCGATACCCCAAAGAGTCACAGCGACGAGGAGGCCAATGCAAATCCATCGCATGAGTCCAGCCTTGAAAATGCGGAGGTACTGGAGCAAGAGAGCAATCTTGATGACGCCGCAGTTGGTGACGTATATGGCCATTTCGAAGTAGTACAACTGGCTTGGTTAGCAAGTGGCATCACACAGTTGAGGAATAAGCATACCCTCAGATATTCTACTAGACGGTTGTAGCCAATGTACAACATGTGCTCACCTAGTCCTTGCTTGACAGCTACTCATATTAGTTGAGATCATATCGTAAGCATGGAGGACCACCTACAAAAACACATTACGACGGTGGCTGCCGTGTTCAACGACTAGATTGAGTTAGCTGCATGTCAAACGCGTAAAATCTGTCAACGGTGAACGTACCTGAGCAAGGAACACAAACGCATCATCCCAGCCCAATTCCTTGACGACTCTGATGCGGACATACAGACGAAAGAAAACCGCAAACCATGCTATGATCTATCTGTGAGGTTAGCGGATGATACATCGAGATATATCACGACATCGTACCAAGAAAGTGAGCGTAGTGCCGAACATCGTCGCCCTGCGATTCGACAAGGGCAGCTCCTCATCTGGATCCGGTGCATGCAGCACCATATCGGTGTACATTTGCTCCCATGTCGACATCGTGAAGAACGTCGTACCTGAGTAAAGTGGAACGCCAGCGCCGGCGCTGCTTTGAAAGATGCAGAAACTATAAGGTTGGCGAACGACCCACGCCGCAGGGCGGGTACGCAAGCCCTAATGACTGACAGGATACTGTCTGCCGCCTTCTCCCACGAGGCTACGGTTGACGATTCAGGGCCGTTGCCAAGCTGGGTTCATGCCGTCCACGCAAGACTAACGCAGGTGGAGACGTGTTGGAGGCTCAACGCTAGCTGATAAGCGAACTGCGATTTGCGGATGCTTGCATTTGACAGGTCCTCGCCCAAACTTTACGCAGGGGTACCGCTGGGAGAAACGCTTTCTGGACGCCGGATTTCTGGCCTGAGGGATCGCGCCACGGGCTGCGCGTGCGGCGCGCGAGAGAAGGTTCCACGGCGGTGAGCGCTGGTGTTGCTTTTAAACTGTCCATGTGTGCGGTACCCGGCTTCCATACACCACCCCGTTACCTCTTGCTGTAATTGTTCTTCCAAAAGGACAGAAGTCGAGGTCCTTCTTTGCTTCGACGCCTCCATCCCACGTCCCGTGGCAGTGTGGACTTTTCGGGGCTGTTACGCCTCATCGCCCCTGACTCCAGTATATGTACAAGGGTACCAGGAGTGACATGTCAATATCTGCCGTCTGCCGAGCACGACGAACGCAGGTTCGAGGTTCAGGTACTCGCAAGTAGACAGCCGCAATCATTCGAGGTTTTGAAGCAAACGCAAAGATTGGCTGGAATGCGCATTCCCCTGCGGAACCTTGGATCCTTCGCAAAGAGCACTGGCCATTGATATCATCACCAGTTTAATCCTGCACACAGGGACAGCCGCCACAGATCTTCAAACACGGCCAGGGTGAAATTTCCGGGCCAATCGTTAGCCTCCGACGCCAGATGACTCGCTGATTCATCTCGTCGTTCTTCTTTGGGTGTCGCGCTAATCGCAATCGATCGGCGCAGGATTGTGTCTCATCTCTTGTGCTGGGATCCCGACTAATCGGCAAGGTCAACAACAATGCTATGTATATGTATCGGTGCAGGATCCTCGGATTCGCGACATGACACACTTGCCATCGTGTTCCTTCGATGGATCCTCCGACGCGGCGTCCCTGTTGTTCTGGTGCAACCGTGACGAGATTGGCGGCAAACAACGCCGAATCTCGTGTGTCTATGCGTCACGACGATACGCGAAGAGATCCTGCGTCCCGAGGTCGCTTGAAGGAGGAAGAATGGCGAGATGACTTTCACATGCATACCAGATGTATGGCTGCCATGCAAATATTGAGGCTGAAGAGATGGAAGGGACCAAAATTGGCATTGGCATCGGAGACGCGGGATGTGGAGGCACCGACTTCGTGCCGATTTTCCATCTTTCTTCATCACGTGCCACCACATCGCGTTTCTTCACACATTTCGGAGAACCGGAAAGGTAGGCCTTGGTGCTCGCCCAACTGATGGCGTTGCTCGGTAATATCAAAAGCAGCTATATGGAAGTGTCGGGCTGGTCTGGTCCCTGAGACATGAGGTGCGGCCGGCAAGCATCGGCTCTCAATCGTTCCCATCATTGTTGTCGATGCAATACCAGCATATACCCAGGACGCGCCCGCCCACTTGACCCTTCACCACTGCTGCATGTATTCAGATACGCTGGTTCCAACCCTCAGCGGCCCGACGACTGTGCGGAAACCCCACTGAAGTACTATATCTCGCGAGCCGAGCAATCGTTCAGGTACATCGCGTTTCTATGCTCTCGCGCAATAATGCAGGGGTTGTCAATAATTCTCGAGGAGTCTTTTGTGCATATCCACGATTTTAGTGACCTCAGCCCGAACGTGTTCAACTCCCGGCGTCGAAGAACATCTATCGAGGAGACGGAGTACCTGCTGGCCTTCCTTTATAGAGCGCGTCTGCCACCCCCTAGCATCCCGGATGGTTCCATATATGGAACTTCTTCGTTCTTGTGTCGGAATTCCGACTCTTCGAGCTCCAATGTCTTCCATCCATTTGAACCAACAAACGCATGTTTTGAGATGTCGATGCAGAGCTGTAGTTATCTTCGTAGCATCATGAACTGGTAGTTCCGCAGCCAGCCACGTTTTACTTCCCATATAGAACTCGGAAAAATCGACCACGATCTTCAGGGTTTGTTTGGTCAGACTGGGAAGCTCCTCAGGCGCAACATCGGCGAGTTCGCCTCTTACCGCAAGGTCGTCTTGGTATGATATCAGCATACTCTCGAGGCTGCTCAGAACTACCCTAATCGTTGGGTCGACCCGCGTTAGGATATCCGATGGGTACGTCCGCATGCTGGACTTGACGTGTCGCAGGGCAAAACATGCATCCGAGATTCGGATGATATCTACACGTGAGATAGTGTAAGACGCGCCATTGAAGAAAGCCAGGATACTGAACGATCTAGGTATCTGCAGAGCGATATAAGTACACTCCAAACATTCCTGTTCTCTTGGTGTTGGGTGAGGGTAATGGAGTTGTAGTTCAGAGGTGAGAATGTCGCTCTGTCTGACAAACAAGAGGTGCGCAACTCTACATGATCAGTCCAAGTGGGCGAAATTGGGTCCATGGGCTGACCTACCGAAGGCGCAAGTGGTAATTCCAATACGAAAACAAACTGAACGACTGGACCACGGAAGCTCGGTCCCGTACGAAGATATGCAGGCTTCGATGTTGGGCAGGCTCTCTAAGCAGTACTTGTACATCGCGGTCGTACCGAAGTCTGCGTAAGACATTTGACTGCAACTCTGTAGCGCCAAATCGCCCATGGAAACTGCGATGAGCGTTCAATCCGGTGGCGATGCTCGTAGTAGGAAAGTTGATAATTCTAGGCGCAGGTCTCGAGATGGAGAAACGAACAATCGTGGAGAGAGGCATGGTTGCGAAGAAGCCTCGGCGCGAAGACCGACTGAAGCCGGCGACCTGGCAGTGCTAATGGGCGGGGCTTGGGCATCGTCGAGAGGGACGTTGCTGAATGTTGTTCAGGTATGCGGTTGAGCGGCACAGTCGTGTGCACGTGAGACCGAATGAGGCTAGTACGCGAGGCGAAGGAAGTAGAGTGAGCAGGCGCACATAATTTCTGTCGAGTTCGCGGTTTCTTCTTCTCTCCAGACCCTCCCATTGAAAGCAATACCTAGGTACCAAGAGCACTACAAACGACGATGACAGCGAATACTCAACAAGACCCATTCGGTCAACTCCCCGAGGAGCTCAGGCTGCAGATCATCAAACTCTCTCCGAACCCTTTTTCCCTACGGAACCTGGCCCACGCGTCGCCCGCTATGGGCAGAGTGCTCGACAGATATCCGCTCGAAATTTTGGAAGAGGTCCTGGAGGCTACCGTTCCCTTGCGGACGCGTCGCCTGATGGACGCGGTTCTCAAAGCACGGTTTTCAGACTTCTTCGCATCCATGCCCGAGGCCCAAACTATTGCTGAAGCTGACTGGGTTTTCGCCACCGAAAACATACATTCGTCTGGACGAGACGAAGCTGCCGCGGCAGTACGTTCCTTGCTCACCAGCGCCGCGAACGTGCATGCCTGGTCCCATGCCTGCCTTGAGCATTTGATACGAAAATCTATGCAGCTAAGGCCCTCTACACTCATCAAATTGGGCCGGGGGCCTGGCCGTACACACCAAGAGGAATTCGAAAACGCCGAGAGTCAAAAGGACTATATTCCACAGGAGACCGGACCGCCCTCGTGGGTGGAGGAGCAGCGCATGATGAAAACATTCTGGCGACTGCAGTTCTTGCTGGAACTCCAGGGCGCCGGTCATAAGGGCCGCCTGGATGCCATCTGGTCGAGTCAGGAAATTGACGCGTTGTCCCAGAGCAGCGCGGATGACTTTTACGATATAATGGGGTACGAACAGGAGATGATCTTTACCGCCTGCGATTTTCTCGGTGCAGTCACCTCTGGGTTAATTACTTCTGTGGAAGCTGATCACCACAACGCTTATAGTTTGCCAACAATACGTTGGGTTGAAGGGGCTGTGTCGAGGTGTTACTGTGCCGAGCCGCTCTATTTCGAGATGAACAAGGACGTCTTCAATCAGGGTGCAGACAAATTCAACTGTACTACATGGGCGTACCGCTTTTGGTGCGCCATGACATCAAAGGATGATTGGCTTTATGGAATGTTTCTCAGGCTTTGGTACCCCTTTCAGACCTGGCGTAAATATGGGTTTGCTATTTGGGATGACAAGCGCATGGTTGATCTAGGCATGCGGAACCCCAGGAAAAGTCATTGGGGTCTTAACTCTATTTCTTACTCTTTTCGATGGTGGAGCATGTTGACGGAGGAAGAGAAGCGTCAACCGATCCTTCAATATAGGCACAGATATCAGAGTGTGTAGGTGCACCTTGACATAACCACGAAGAGAACGTGTCTTTGACTTAGACCAGAGATCCTTTCTCTTCTCTGCGGCCATAGACAACTCACTACAGCGACAAAGACTCAGGCCAACAAAACATGCCAGCCTTCAACTCTTCCGTAGATCAAAGGACAACTTCAATAGACAGCCCAAACCATGACCGAGCCTCAGTCTGAGTCAAAGCCGCATTTTCTTCATCATGCAATCTTACACACAACCACGAGACGAAGCAGCATGACGTTCGATGCAGCCTCACAGTTCAACTACCAACCAACACCAATGCGAGCGCAACTTCACAAACCCCGACTCTTATCTACGCCCCCGCGACGAAGCAACACAACTACCTGAACAGCCTCACACCAACCACCAAGCACTATCCAACACCGACGCTAGCAGAACGACTACTCCAAATAGCAGCAATCGAAATCGCAAACCCACCACCATCACCAAAACAACGAGGGTTATTCGGCTAGGTCAAAAAGTTATCTAGCTAGGTGTAACTCTACCTTTTTAAAGCTATTTTGCGCAACAACAAAGCAAGGTTTTTAAAATTCCTAAAGACCCAAATTATAGAAGAGAACCTTCTCTACAAATCTGCCTTTTTTATAATTCTTAATACCTTGCGTTCTTGTTGCCCAGCTAGATAACCTTTTTGACCCAGCCGAATGACCCTCGTCCAACGAAACCAACACCAAAAAACCCCCATCCCTCATCCTCCATCCCCCATGCCCCCCAAAATCGCATTTCCACATTCCCATGCCCACCAATACCTTCCCCCGAAATTATCCCCAATCCACGCCATCCCACGCAGTGTACTTAAATTAACCAATCTACCCGTGCCAAGCCCCAAGTCCACCGAAGTAGATCTAAATAGCCTGAAGTAGGTAACCCGATATACACTCCAAAGAACCGGAGATGACGGGCCCCGACCACACAGGCAGATCCTTGTGCATTTTCTTCATAATATATCCCTGTCACATTTCCTTTAATCTAAGATTGCGCGAACGTAGTAAGAGAAAAGCATGGTAAGATAGGCAGGATAATGCTAGGTTACCTTTGGGCTGGGTAGATTGTTTGGATGATTGAGGTGTTGGAGTAAGAAGTAGGGTACGGGATGGTATGGTACAATAATGATGATACACTAGCCACCCCATCCCCGTCTATCCTGCCGTAACTCCAGCGATGGATACGGAGACATATTCCAAATGCACATACACGTGCCTCGCAGTTGGATAGCAGCGGATGTATTTACAGGCCAAAAAAAGAACAGTGATACAGAACGCGTCTTACATTAACGACACAACTGTTGATACAGAACAAATAAGTCTCAAGACGGCCTCCTCCCGTCAAAGAACCCCGGTCTAGCCACCTCATCCAACCCCCCCTCCAACCGACTCGGCACAAGTCTCCTCAGCACCGCCAACGCAGCCTCCAGTTCCCGTTCATCGGGGTGCCACAACGCGCGAATCTCTTCCCACGCCTTGAGTATGCGTTCGGGGGTTGCGCATCGACCGAATGCACGGAGCGCCGCAATGACAGCCAGACTAGACAGCCAAGTCCGCTCCATATGATCGCTGTTGAGCGCTTTGAGATACTGGGTCCAGATCTTCTCGAGGCGGGAGAGCGTCCAGGAGGAGTATCTAACGCCGCCGAAGGAGTTGAAACCGTGGAAAATGACGATGAAGATTGTGCCGTCGAGAGAAACGGAGTTGTATTTCATTTCTTGCAAAAGCTCGTTGACGCGGTCGATGTTGCCGGCTACAGCTGCATGATGTCGTATCAATATCCCATAAGTGCGTGAATCGGGGCCTATGGGCGCGAGGTCTTGGAGTTGTTTTAGCTCTTCGTCTCCGCCTTCTTTCTTTAGGCGTCGCGCTTCGTCGCGGAATTTCATGCCTAGCACGCGGCGGTCGCGCCAGGTGCGGTTGAAGAAGACGTGGCCGCGGGCTGTGGCGCTGCGCTGGGCATGGAGGCGCTTCATTCGCTCGAAGACGTGTTCAGCGGCTGAGGGCTCGCCGGCGCGCATTAGAGATGCTATGACGGCGTTCATGACGACGGTGTCTACGATGTCGCCGGCGGAGACGAGGTCGAGATATGCTTTCCGGACCGCATCGCCGTTTTGGAGAACGCCGTAGTAGTAGAGGAGTGCGACGCGGTAGTGGCGGTGCATGGGCAGCTTTCGGGCTTGCATCTCTTTCATGAAGGTCTCGGCGAGTGTGTATTTGCCCGCCTTGACAGCAATGTTGAAGAGCACGTTGAATGTGACATATCCACCTTTTAGACCGGCCCGGTGCTCCATGTCCTGCCAAATGCGAAGGGTGTTTTGTAGGTCGTCGTCGGATACTGTCCCCATGGCGCGTCCAGTCAAATGTATGGCCGATGTCCACTCTGAGCGAACTATGTGTATATGCGCCGTCTTCATATCGTCAAGTACCGAGAGGAACCGTTGCGCTGCGATGGGTGTGGCGCGTTCGACAATGGCGAGATGGTGCAGTAGCGCTCGAATAGTCATGGTAGTAAGGTACACGACTCCTGGGGACTGCAGCTTCTTGTACGTATCAAAGACCTCATCGTGCGGCGACTCATCATCCTTCAGCAGATCCTCTAACTTCTTGATATGCAGCGCATCTGCTGGCTCACGTAGAGGCCAGGGCTCGTGGTCATCGCCAACATTCCAAACCAGCTTCCCTTCGTCAGGAACATCTGCTTCAGGCCGGGTATCGATTTCCATGCCATAGTAGTCCACCAAGGCCTGCAGCTCCTTCTCGGCGAAGTTTTTGACTTTCTTGAGCGGCCCTTTGCGCTCGGGGAAAATATCCAACTTCTTCTCCGACTTCGACCACGTGCTCTTCCTCCGTGATGTCTGATGTTTTGGTGTCGGCGATGCTACGTCGCGCGGGGTATGTATGTGTTTCGCATGCTTTGGGCACGACCCGGCCCGCACCAATGCCTGGATGAAGAAAGTGTCCATGCGAGCAGACGGCCTATCGGATAACGGGGCATTGTCTACCGCCTTCTTGCTGAACCTCCTCTTTGGTGTATTCTTCTCGGAATTCGGGTACAGGAAGGTGAGGAAGGGGCGAGCATGGGCGGTATTGGAGACTGCAGAGGTCCGGTCGAGGGTGCGGAAGAGGGACATGAGAGGTCGAGCATTGTGTCAGAGGGAGCCAGTTCAGACGGTGTCCATTTGGGGGGTTTCGGGTGCAATTGAATACGGGGAGCTCAGCGAAGAGCTGCCTGGGTGGGAGGATAATTGTGGCGGGTGCCGAGTGTCGCGGTCATACTCTCCAAAGATTTCGGCGTCGCGAAGTCTTGGCGGAGTTGCGGACTTTGCGGGCAAGAACCCCAATATCCACCACACGACCAATTGCGCCGCCCGACCTGCTGCTACACCCTCCGTCTCCCCTCGGAATCCCCGCCGATGCGATAACACATCTGATTATATAAAACAACACACCGCCCGCCATGGGCCGCTACGACTTCCGCCCGATGCGGGTGCGCCAGACCGCGAAAGCCCTCTTCGACTCGAAACGCGAACCCAACCTCCCGCAATGGTACGACGTCGTCGGAAACATACCGCCCGGCGAGACACTCGCCCGCCCAGTCCTGCGCATACCCAAGATGCGGAAGGCGCGGAAAGCCAGCAAACTATTCCAACCTCTACCCATCGCATACCCAGAAGACAAGCTGCGTTCAGAATTCTTCGGCGACCACCCATGGGAACTGGCACGGCCAAGGCTAGTCGTAGAAGACAGCGGGAACGACTCCAAGAAATACGACTGGAGCAAGATTGTCCAGCCAGGAAAGCAATTAGACGGTGAAAGGTACCCAAACCCCCATCCACCACACTACACCACACCCATACTAACACCCCCCCAGCGTCGTCCAACGCCAAATGTGGCTAATGAAGCACGCCTCCCTCTCCAAGTCCTCCGCCTACGACCTCGCCCGCCGCGAATTCTACCAACACCGCCACCTCTCCGAAATCCGCCAACGCATCGCCAAAGAAGAAGCCCTGCACGTCGGCGCCTACTTCGGCAAAGGGCCCCTTGAAATCGGGATGGAGCTCGAAGACCGCACGTGGGAGAACTGGAAGGCGTGGGCTGCCCAGCAGATCGAGGACGAGCAGAGTATGCGCGCCCAGATGTTTAGTGGGCAGCAGGATGAGGGGTTGGGGGATGCCGCGGAGATGAGTACCGCGGAGTATGATGAGGCGGTGCAGGAGATTCAGCCGTCTGCGCCGAATAATCCGCAGGGGATGAGGCCTATGGGGGGTGTGGCGGCGCATGCGTAGGGATGTGGGTGGGCGAGATGTTGTATATTTTGTGTAGATTACGATTACGATAGGGACAATTCAATGGATATGAGACAAGCCTTGTCTGGACAATGGGAATACGTGGGCATGAGGAAGGCATTGATGGCATTGCGATGACGCTGATCATCACCAGTATCGATGACCGCGGCAGCATACAGGCTCCTAGAGTCAACAATGTCGATTCTCGCAAGGCATGACGGAATTTTGCATCTGCTTCATCTCATCACTTCTTCCATAGTATATTTTGGCAAACCCCAGGCGGAGGAGTCATTTAATTTTGGCAATTTTGTTTTTGGACGAACCCCAGAAAACAGCATGAGCTGTTGGACGAATGATTTTGAACATACGGTACTAATCTCTAGATTTGAAGTACAAAGAATCACCGTAGAGAAGAAGTTTTATATCTCAACGGCGAAAGCGAGCCACCAGACATGTCTCTGAGCACTCATGAATTCCAGCTGCTAGCCCGGATCTCATATCACGAATTGATTTGAATTTCGAAGAGCCGCGACCGCCATAGACGAGGTCCAATTGGATTTTGGTCACTCCGAAGAGACGACATGGGGCCAA